TCCACTAACCAATAACAATTTAATTAAATTATTGTTTTATTTTAGATTTTTAAATGTTGAAATAGGCAAAAATTTACAAATTCCAAGCCATATATTTTTCCTTCTACTACACACTATCATTATCATTTCTTTATTAAACCCTTACGTTTGATTTATAGTTCCTAACCAAAACGATTTTTTCTTCGTTTCTTGGAGAAAGGAATCAACTCCACAAGTTTCAGTACTTACTAACAAGCATGTTAAATGTATGATTCAAGGCAATTCAAGCAGAACTCTACAGTTTAATATGAACAAACGTGAACTCAGTTCCTCAAATTGTCTTTAAAGACTTTGTGTCTTCAAGACTGTCCTGTCCGGTGACAGCGTCTCCATTATTAGGCATTATTGGATTGCAAATGCATGATTCAAAACAATATCAAACAGAATCCTACAGTTTAATATGAACCAACGTGAACTCAGTTCCTCAAATTGTCTTTGAAGATTATGTATGTTCAAGACTGTCCGGTGACAGCGTCTCCATTATTAGGCATTATTAGATTGCAATCAAATGCATGATTCAAAGCAATATCCAACAGTACCCTACAGTTTAATATAAACAAACGTGAACTCAGTTCCTCAAAGTGTCTTTGAAGACTTAGTGTCTTCAAGACTGTTCGGTGACAGCGTCTGCATTATTAGACAATTACTCAATCAACGATGCAAATTGCATATGAGTAGACAAACTTGAAATGAAATAACAAAGGTCAACTGCTATAAGGGGCGCTGTTTATGACATGGACACATTCAGTCTTGAAGTCACGTATGCAAAATGTCATTGAAGACTTTTGACTCATTTGTTCGAAAGTATTTTCAAGAACATTCATTCACTTGAATCGACTTTAGATATGCGTTAATTTCTTTGAGACGTATCGATTCGTTTCCAACTGGAATATCTTTGCTACAACGTTATATAGTGGCTTGTTAAAACGCATAATATTTTGTCATTGATGTAGTTTTTGACAGTATCAATTCGTAGATCTCTGTTTATATTCGTAAGTAGTTTTCTGAAATAGCACAGCGCTTTAACAATTCCCTTCACCGGTATGCTCTCAAAAATTAGTAATTGTTTTATGGTTGTCACAATAATCCTCAAAGGATGCAGTGACGCGGTGACAAGTTCCCAACCCATTTTAAAAATTGTTTTATGGTAGATTTGCATTGACCAAGCTTAACAAATATTTGATCTAACAATTAATCAATTAATTATTTTATTAATATGCAAAATAAAATTAAAAATAACATTTGTTAAATTTGTTAAACATTAAAAACTGTTTTTATAAAATTATAATTGATTTGATGAAATTAATCATCGCTTCTAATTTGACAGGCACGAGTTCTGGCACTTGTAGTCCAAACAATAGGGACTACAAGTGAACTATATATACGGACTATAAACTAATTTAGTAATTCGAATATTTCTTAAGACCACTGATGATAAGAACTTATCAATACTGGAAACAGCGTTATGTGTTCGAACAAATTTCAATAGATTAAATAAAATTTATGTCCTTGTCTTTTCATTGCTATTCGAATCGGTCTAATTTTTTTTTTGTTAAATTAGTTCAAAAAAATGTTTTGTGTTTTATTAGTAGATAAATTGAAGTTTGAATTGTTCAGTCGACTTAATTTTCTATAAATATCTTAGGCTTATTATGTATTGCAATAATTACATGTCTTATTAAAAAATTTTCGTTTAATTTATTTGAACATAGAAAATATCAATTCAATTTTGTTAAATGTGACGGAAATTGTTTGAATTTAATTTTTTCTATCTACTCAGTAAAATGTAACTGACAAAAAAAAACATATTTTCACATAATTAAATTCCAATGCATACAGCAATTTCTATAATCAATATTTGCTGCTTTTGGGAGATTGCAATCTTATTTTTCTCAATTTGCACAATTTTTGTTTGTGCAATTTTGTGAATGTTCAACCATTCGAGCATAAGTAAGATTTACAATGTATCCTAAATCGTGGGTTTCGTGTCTTTTTTCTGAAATTCTATACAAACATTTCTTAAATGTGATCACGAATGTTGCAGATAATGTCAGGTATACGGCAAAAATTGACAAGTCATTTTTTCAAGAATTAAGTAAAGTATTTTCTTTATTTTTATTTTTTATGAAATTTTACATTTTTTTTTCGATAATTGCATTTATCATTTAACTTGCATTTATTAAAAATTTATTGCGGAAATTAAAAAATATTTATGCATAATATAATTTTTTTAAATCAGAATTAAAAAAATTAAATTAAACATCATTATAAGAGTAACATTCGATTGCAGTGATCAGGGCATAGAACAGAATTTCAGAAATCCTAATATTTATATAGGTAAAAATATTCTATAAGACTGAAAGAGACAACAACGTTTGAAGAAGTATAAAGATTTAATTCAAATAAGACTTGTATCAAAATACTTTAATAATTGAATTTATATATCCGCGGTTATATTTAAGACTTGAAGAGGATTAAAGTACAGCTACTCAATTTAAATTGTACTCAAGTTAGATTGTAACACGTGGTAAGATTGACTATTTTCTATCTACTTTGTATTTTGGATATTAAGCTTAAGGTAAGGTAAGCTATATATCTGTCTTGTTATAATTCTCGTTTCTGTACCGTATTAAAATTTTACAGATTTTACAAGTTCTTTCCAACTGTTTCTATGCCTAGCCAAGTTGGTCTCAGTTCGTTAAACGATTAGGCAGTCTCCAGCAGATTCTTTGTGAATACAACGTATGGTATTCAGTCACATCCTTTACTAAATGTATGTGCTATTCTTTCTTTACTTCATTTCTTCTTCTTCTTGGAGTTGACATTGACTTTATTCAATTGTTACCACAACTCTTCGTTGAAGATGGTCGTCGGATACCATCTATGTATAGAATTTGTATATATTAAGAGTGAAATTATTTAGACTTAAATTGTTTTTATGTGTTTTGATTGAGAATAACATTTTATTCTAACTTATAACTACATTTTATTCTATTTTATTACTTTTTACTAATTACTATAAGTAGCTGACTAACAGTATAATAGTATTTATACGATTAAAAGATTTGTGTTTCATTCTAATTTTAATAAAAATTTTATAGTTGTGATTGTTTCTCCTATTCAATTACAAAATTAATCATTTCAAATGAGTATCGTTTCCATTTAACCACAAAATTACTCAGTTTTGAAAAACATGTTTAAAAGTCCAAATAAACTTATTTTAATTACATATTTCTAAGAATGGAGATATATTTATTGTTTATTATATAAAAAGTGTTATTAAACATTAATAATTTTATATTAATTAAAACAAATAATTAACCATTTCTTGTGCTGTTACAAAATAATCGTTATTCAAATATATTATCGTTGAACATAAAAATTCGTATCTCAAAGTTGTCTTTATTAATAACTCTCAAACAATTATTTCTTTGAATTATTAAGAGTCAAATTTGCAATCACAGAGCTCCTTTTAAATGAGAAATTTAATTTTAATTCGCAATGTTATTCTGTATCTGCTACATAATAAAACATGAAGCAATTTTATTGCCGAGTAGTCCGCATACCAATGTTTGAGGAAGTCTAGCTTAGATAATAGTTTCGTTTTTTCCACATATGTCAGCAATTTCATATTTCTTTGATTTTTGATTACAGTATATATTCTGACATACACAGCTTTTTTTTTACATTTTTATAAAACGTATTAATTTCGTGCAAACTCCCCGATTTTTAGATCTTAGAGATTATATTAAATTTCAATTAATCTATTGGAATCATCAACAATTTCTTGACACTAACTATGAGTTTTATATTTGGTAGTATACGAGTTCAACTCTTGGTACTTGCACTCTTGAAAAAATTATTTACGAATAATTGAATATAAGAAATAATTCCAAGACCACTGATGATGGGTATTTGGCAATACTTGAAGTAGCTGTATACTTAGCGAAAAATGCAATTTATTAAAATTCAATAAAAATTTGTTGCAATTTACTATTGTTCGAAAACTCTCTATTGTGTCGTATGATATAATATAATACTAAATAAGTCTAAGATTCGAATGAACTTCAGACTCTGAAGTCATAGTCTTTAAATTGATAATAGTCTCACCACAAATTCTTTCTTTTTTTTCGATACACTGTTTACTTTAGAACCCATCTTGTTTAAGTTTATTATTTACTAAATAAGAGCTTTTTAAACAAAATCTTTTTACAAAGGTTTTATAGTGCCTTTAGTTAATACTTTTTTCTTTCTTTTTTTTTTTTCTTTTTCTTTGAACGCAATGACACTGAGGGTCTTAATTATGATTAGTAAAATTAATGTTTTCTATAACTATAACCATATTTAAAGTAATCTATGATTTATCAGATCTTTATTTTGAATAATATAATTTTATGTTGTATAATTTTATACTTGAGTACTACCAAAATTATGAGAATACGATTACATCATAGTGTATGTATTTCTTGTCTTTCAATATGAGGTTTAATAATAAATCAAACTACTATAAAACGCTAAACATTTATATAAGTTAATATTATATTAATTATTAATTTTAATTTACTTAACGCCACTTGAAAATCAGTTATAACATCATTTTCTAGACTTGTTTCTTCGTTATACTGACAAAATTTAAAAAACTGCAATCCAGTAATCAAACTCCATTGAAACTTCATCTCATACCGTTAGTGTTAATCAATTGATTAATGAGAAATAGTAACGTTAGTGAAAAATATATATGATACTATATTATTTCTTATATTATGCGATTAAGTAATTAATTGTTTATTAGAAATAATTTGCGGAAAATTTGAAAATTAGTGCCTTCCCCAGGTGCTGTGGTGTTGCAACATAGTTAAACCATTTCAGGCCCCTGCAGTCTTAAGTATTAAATTTTAATAGGTTTCGTTTATGCATATTTAAATGATTATTAAATGAATTTACTTTTCATTTCATTGCAGAGCGTATTGGACGACGAAATCGAAGACGACGAAGACGAAGACGATTATTCATCGGAATTGTGTGTCGATGGTAGCGGTGCCGCCACAGAAGATGATTTAAACGATGTTGCTTCTGAATTAGAAAGTGACGACGTTGTTACCAATAATTCATCGTCGTTTTGTGAGTTGGTACGTTGCAATATTGACAACAAACACTTGTCAATTGAAGCAACATCTCCAGCAGCAACAACAACAGCGCAACCACGTGAATGTATAAAAAATAAGGTAAGATTAATTTTTTTTATTTTTTTTTTTTTTGTTTTTGATTTTCTAGTAACAATATTAATAAGAAACGTGAGTTAGAGTTCGATTTGTTAACGTTGATTGTCGTTTAACTGACACTTTATGCATGCAGTACTGTCAACTTAGTATATTTGGAAAGTCAAAAGTAATATTGTTTACCTTTATTCAAAATTTTAGTTTAGATGCATTTTTAGATATAAAATTTACTAACCAAAATTTTTCTGTCAAAATTATTATGCAAAAATTACTGCAATAAAAATAAGTTGACAAGACTGCAGGCCCTGCGGCCTAATACCGCATGCACCCGGATCTATACTTGTGTTAAATGTTGTGCGCGTTCAAAAAAAATTGTTTGTTTTCGAAAAAAAATAATTATGAAATTTTATTATATAAGAGCAAGAAAAAGCTTTAAAAATGCTTTCTTTTTGCATGCTTTCCTTGAATTTCTTTTAAAACTAAACTAAAAATTAACAAAATCAGCTCGATTGTGAAGACGGTGACGACGAGCAGGAAGAAGGGGACGACGAAGACGAAGTTGATACACCCAACTTCCAACAAGTTTGCCGCAAATTAAATTACAGCAGTTTCTCAAGTGCTTGTGATAAGAGTTCAAATTTTGGAAGAAACAGTACATTTAATACCACAACAGCAACATTGACTGATTTTGAGGCTGATTCTGAAAGTAGCGATTACGAGACTTTCAAAAATTTCGGTCGTCGCAAATTTACTGATTTCCATTGCAACAGCAATTACGTGCAGCAACAAGTAAAGGTATCAACGAACCTACACCCAATAACAAAATCAACAACAACTGAACTGTTGACTAACAATTTCGGCAAACACTCTTCAACACAATTAGTAACAATTAATCAAAACGCACCATTAGCAACAGACACAGCAAGAGCAACAGCAATTACGCACTTTACTAACAATGTTACTACTGCTTTAGGCATGGATAATTTGTGTTATCAACAGTGCATCAAATTACCGGAAGCAATAACTAACACAACCACAACTGGGGAAACGGTAGCAACTAAAGAAACTACAATAACAGAAACGTTTAATGCTCTTGTAATGCAAACCAAAATGGGTATAAATGTTGTTGATATTCAACAGCAACAACAACAACAACCGCAACAGCAGCAACAACAACATCGTACCACATTGTTACAAACCTTAAATAATATGAATGTTGATACAGAATTACAAAGTCAGCAACAAAAATTGCAAACGTTCTCAACAAACAGTAATAGCAGTCAGACGATAACGTCAGCGGGCAAACAAAAAAATATTGCTATTATAACACCTAACAATAGTCATAATAATAGTGGCAGCAATAGAATTGTTGGTGATGCTAATAGCAGCAAATCACCAAAAGTGTTGCGCAAACGTCAGCAGCAGCAACATCGCCACATAGATATATCCAAATTTAATCGTTCCAATCGTAAATCAAAGAATTGTGCCATTTTCTATTTTAAACATTTGGACACCGACAATGAAACAAATTATGGTCTTTCCTCATCGGCATCTCATACCAGCGATGTAAGTAAAATATTTAAACAGCAACATGTACGTGTATATATATAGGAATACATATCTATATTGATATTCGTATGATGCCTAGTAGAACTTTTAAATTCATACATACATACTTATGAGTTTGTGGGATGTTGCTCGTCTCGATGGGTATGGAAAGAAATGTGAATAATATTTATGGATATGCAAGTCAATGGTTCTGGTTTTGCATAAGTGATGACTAACAAAAATTTTTATTATATTCTAGATTTGCATATAGTTTGTTTTATGGTTGTGGAATGTTCAAGGCATTTTATATATTTTTTATTGAATTTAAAGTAATATACTAACAAACAAAGAATTTATGAGTAATGTTTTACATATATTTCATAAATAAATATTAATAAATTTAATATATTAAATACAGTAATAACTCTGTTAAGCGGATGCTTAATCTTTTTTAACCGCACATTATTGCTGGTCCATGCGTATACCTTCTTTTATACGGACAGTTATCTTAACCGGGCAAATTTGCTAATCCAATCGATGTCCGCTTTCACTGAAATACTAAATGTAGTAATCGACAAAAAATAAATAAAAAGTTCAATGAAATCTTTATTAAATGAATACTCTCCTAAATGCATATTTCACTTAAACGTAAAGGGTTATTAGTCCATAGTTTTTACGTTTTATACGTCGAAAACCGATATTAATTCAGAAACGAAAACCGGAACCGAAGCGATATATTTGTTTTCTTTTGAACGGAACGGAAAAAATGGCAGTTCAATCAGGGCTTCGAACCGGAACCGAACTGAAAACCGCAAAAAACGGATATTTTTTGCAGTGACGAAAATTGGAATCGAACCGATATATTTTATTTGTTTTGAACCATGCGTGGAACAGACAGTTCATTTAAACGAACACTATTGCTGATCTAGTTTGCATTCGCTTTAATTATATTATTAATTCGAATATAAGTAATTATGAAGTAATTATTATTAATTAATGTTTATTTTTTTTGTCGAATGTGACGAGTTCTATGACAAAATGAAAGGGTTCCAACAATAATGAAGAAGCAACAATAAAAATTTGATTAATTTATTGAAATTTAGCTGACCATGCAACGTTGTTTCGATTATTGCCAAGTACTCATCATTAGTGATCTTAGTAAATATTCGAATTTTTATTTAATTATTTTATAGTCTGTATATAATTTACTGGACCCCAAGTACCAGGCTAAGGACTCGTGCATCTCAAATTACTACTCATGTTTTTCCATAAGTAGCCAAGGCTACACAAACTTTTAATGCTCAAGTTCCAAGTTTTTTTATCACTTTATTTGTAAGTGACACTAACCAAAGTAGTTGCCATCCTTTTTAAATTAGAACGAGCTTATAAATTATAGCTTTATTTGGAAATACGATTTCAACGAATTGAAATTTATTTTTGTAGTTGTCTATGTTTTATTTCAAAGCTATTATAATTATAATTAAAATAATAATTATAATTATTAATAATTTCTTCATAAATAAACTGTAGCATAAAAAAATCTTATAATGGATTCATCACACTAACGCCCCCTTTCTTGACGAGCAATTTTTTCAATACTTTTTTTTTTAACAATAACTAAAATGAAATGTGAATTTTATCCGGAGACTACAGTGGAACGTATAAAAATTGACTGGGCAATGCATATCCGCTAAAGAGAGTTTTCACTGTATTTACGTATATATATATATATATATAAATTTTAAACATGATTAATCCTAATATGCGTATAATATCACTAATTAATTAAATTTCATGTAGGCTATGCTTAATTATTTTCCCTTTTCATAAAAAGAAATTGAATTGATTTCACTCTTTAATGGAAAGCTGCTGTCTTAACATCGTACACATCATTCAACTCAGCTCAGAAAGTTGTCATCATTCGTAAAAATTTATAATTAATTATTGCGATCAGTCATCCATATTAAATTGAATTCATTATTAAAATCCAGTTTGCAATCATGTTATGTCCTTTATTTAAAATATGCAAAAAAGAAAAGAAAAATAAATGATATCGTAGTTAATTCCTAATCGTAACTCTCAAATCTTAATCAAAATATCCGCATTCAATCAAGCTCAATTCGAAAACATTTAACTCTAGATAATCCATCATTTTTTGCTAATCATTAACGAGTACCAAAAAGATATAAACATGTATAAAAAAATTCATACAATTTAAAATTATATATTTGTGAAAAAAAGCAAAATATTGAATTTTTTAAGATTAACTAATCATAATGATTATAATTAAAAAATCAGCAATAATTTAAAATCACAGTTTGCTCTACAAATGAAATCATGAATCTCATTTCGCATTTCGCGCTTAAATTTGTTAAGATTAATCATAATTTTATTATCGTTTTTCATCTTTGCTTATGCTCATTTATGTTAAATGTAGTTTTTATTTGTTGTTTTTATTTGGTAATTTGTATCTAAATAGTCTATTACATAGCGAGATTTTTGTATCTGCAAGTTGCAATTTGCCATTTGTACAAGTAACGCTAATTAAGCTAAGCCTCATGTATTTCTTCTTTCTATCAATTTATCTATCTATTTTTCTTTGGTTTTTTTTTTTTGTTTTAATATGTTTGGCATAATTGCGGCGCGTTTTTGTACATTTTCTCATTATAATCTTTTGCTATTTTCTCTTTGAATTTCTTTGCTTAACCGCAAACTCACAGTTACTCAAATCCGCTGATGCATCATCAGACGACGATGAAGGTTGGCTATATACAACGGCACCACCAGCAGTCACAGCTACACAAGCAACAATAGCAGCCGCAACAGTAACCGACAACGATTTGGATTGTTTGGATTCTACTTCTGCAAATAGTACGTTGAATTCTTCCATAGTTGCCGATGGTATTCAATCTTCCACAGTGTCATCTTCTACTGGTGAAACAATTTCAACAAACGTAACTGCTGCTGCCGGTACCTCTGCCATTGCTATCATTAGCGACGATTCTGATAAAGAGAATAAGGAAGCTTTAGCAGCAATTGCAGCACATAATCGCATTGTGGTCACATCATCATCAGCATCATTATTGAATTCCGCACAATTTTCAAACACCGATTTTCAATTGACAACAACATCAGCGTCATCTTCAGCTGCATATATTGCTAATAACAGCATCATTAACAGCAACTGCAACAACAGCAACAACAACAAGAACAACAACAGCAACAGTAACAACAATAGTAGTGGCAGCAGCAGCTGTAACAGCAGTAAGATCAGCAGATCAGATTGCGGCAGCAGTTGTTCATCGAATGATTTGCTCACTGAAACAACAACAACTGCAACTACAACAACACAAATAACAGAGATGCATTGTCAGCATTTGAATCGTAACGAAATGCAATTACAAATCAATAATGGTCACAATGGCAACAACAACAACAATGTCGAGAAATCAAATCACATCATTGTTGCCGGTAATAACAATAGCAATCATGTCAGCTATAATAAGTACTGCAATAAAAACAATAATCAGCAATGTCTGGATATGAAAAATTTGCACCAGCAACATTTGTCAGCAGCTGAGGACAACAATGGGAATACACAAAAGGTAAGAGCAATACTTAAAGATAATAGACTTAACTAACGACACAAAATTAATTACATTGAGTATACTTATGTTATTAGCAAGCGTGCATATCCTCGATTTGCCATCACAATTAGAAATAATCATTTAGACAGGCCAACGCCAGATCAATGTTAGATTTAATGAAAATCCGATTTCACTTTGAAACCATTGATAATACTCGTGTTATTCAAAATAAAATTAAAGATATTACAAAGAAAAGATGGTGATAAAATGTTTAATAATTCAGATAGTATAAAAACATAAATTGGTTTTAGGTTAAGTTTCAGTGAAAAGGCTGAATTAATTAATTATCAATTTTAATTCAATTTTCTTAATTAAACCCTTGTTTTTATAAAAAATTAGCTTAAGTTTTAAGCGCGAATAGGTGAAAAATTCCACTTGGATCCCATATGGGTTTTTTGTGTTATTCTAGGATTGTTGTTTGATTATTAAAAAGATTTCTTTGTTTCGTGTACATTAACCAATTTATTTTCTTTAAGAATTTTTTGTAAAACCTCCGATATAGCGATAAACAATAAAAAGTTACACAAAAACAGTAGCCCTCTTCCTTACCAAAGCTGGTCTTCTATACAATCGATGAAAGCATAAAAATTTTCCTATTTCCTTTATATTCTTTATATTGTTAAGCAATACCCGGTTACAAGAGATTTAATATAGCCGATTTTAGTCCTATTCAAATAAACTAGTTTCCTAATTCTAAATGGCCTTATGAATAGGTAAATTTGTTTCTTTTTAGCGTTAGTGTTCTTTTTTACCTTATTTGTGTTTTTTAAGTGAAATTTATAGTATCATACATTTACAGGTTTTGATTTGTTTGTAAATATCTAGAGAATAATCTATGTAGTTATGGGTTTCAACTTTTCGTTCAAGTTCATATGCTATATAGTTGTCGTGGTAGTGACTGTGTCATCATTATATGTTTCTATAATAAATTCGTGTAATAACATTAATTAATCATTTTGACTTGTCGATGCAGTAAAGGAGACCACATAACTCTAGTTATAGAAAGTAATCAATAGACACCTTCTCCTCTTTCTCATTTTAACTAAGTTCGCTTGTTGGAATATATAATCATCAAAGTATCGGCACAATAGTATAGTGTCTCATTTGTACTACAGTAAATACACGGTCTATAGATCTTCTAACATCTACAAGATTTTTCATCTAACCTAATCTTAGTCATTGGTTATTTTTTATTATTAGATTTTACATACCCCGTACTACTAGTTTTTAAGAATTTAATAAAAATTGAAAAACTTGATGAAATCATATAACAATAAAAATAGCTCTTATTATAAGAACTTTCTATTAACGAGGTACGAAAATAAAAGGTGGGAATTGGGATAGAATTTGTATTGTTAGAGAGAGAGATTAAAATGAAGTATACAGTATAGTAGGAAAACTCAAAGTTAAATATTTAATAATAATTTGTTTCGACAAACTTAGCAATAAATGTCATAAAGGTATATTTAGTTGTCCCCTGAACATATCTCAATATTGGAAAAATTCTTATGTATTCCTCGATTTATATATTGAACAATTTTTAAATAAAATAGCATGTGCTATTTATTCTTATTTAAAAATAAAATAAACAGTCCGTTAAACTTATATAACGGACTGTTTATTTATTGTGTATAAAAATTGATTTTACATAATGGAAATTTCTGTGATATTTAGAAAGTCAAATTAGAAATTGTAGAACAATTACAAATTAAATGTTAATTTTTTTTTGCCGAATGTGGCGCGTCTTATGATGAAAAGAAATTATATAAAAGTTAGAAGGGTTCGAATAGAAATGAAAAGACAACAACAAAAATTTAGGTTATTTTTTGATATTTGGCTGATCATACAACACTTTTTCGAGTAATGCCAAGTACTCATCATCAGTGGTCTTAGGGAATTTTGGAATTTGTTTTCAATTACTTTATAGTCCATATATAATTTGTTAGAACTGCAAGTTCCAGACTTCGAACTCGTGCCTGACTAATGTCTTTTTCCACAAGTAGCTTAAATTTAATTATAAATTAAATTATAATATTTTTATTTTAGTATTTAACATGGAAATACTCTGCATTAGTTTTCGTTTTATATATTTTTTTTATTAAATTTTTATTTTTTACTGCATGAAATATACATTTTGGTTGAGTTGAAAGTAACTACCTCTTTGAATAACACAAAAAAAAGCTCTATATAAATGCAAAAACTATGTACAAAAAAGCTTTATATGCGCAATAAAGCTCATGATGTGATCTAAGTTTATTTGACAGTACAAAATTTATTATTGGATCTTATATACATAGTTACTAAGTTAATAATTAATTGATTTGTAATGTGTTTATTCATGTGAAGGGTATATCGATAAGAAAGTAAGTCATCTTAATAATAACATTTTTAATGACTAATTTAATTGCAATAGTTAATGATATTGAGGACATTTTTGTTTTTGTTGATTTAACAACAAAAATGCTCCGAGACTCTGAATTCAATTTTATAAATGTAAAAATGATTTTAATATCAATTGAAATTACCTAATAAATAATTTTATAAGTCAAAATTAATCCGGATTTATTGTATCATTAAATAGTAAATAGTACAGAAAACCAAAGCAATATTTGCCTATCGTTTATGTCCAAGAAAGTGATTGCCTTTTTATTTCATAAATCATGAGTACATTAATAACTAAATTAACCTATTAACCCATTTTGCTATAATTAATTACTTGCAAATAAAAAGAGTTTATTATGCATTATTAAGCTTTAAACTGAAGTTTGCAATAACATAGGATTTTTGTACAATAATAAAATTGTTCAACATAAAAAGGCTTTAGGTTCAACAATTTTCTTCATTAATCACACTTTTACTATTATTTTAATTGTAGTAATTTTTTTTTGCAGGTTTTTATATTATTATTCATTTAAAATTAATAAATTATTTCTGTACTTAATATACATTTTTTTGAAATAAGATCACTTACTTTCAAGTTCTTCTCATGGGTTATCATGATTAAGCAGTAAAATAATGAAAGTCAATCATGCACTGCTACCTTTTACCATTAAATCTGTTGTATTTGCTACTATTTTACTACCACTATTATTATTTCACTATAAATAGCAGCCTTAGCTTTCCAGCAAAGGCCATCAAAACTTTTTAAGGTCTCTCTTTACTTTTCTAATGGCGATGATGCTGATGACGATCATCACGACGTTGATCATGAAAACGAAAATCATGTTTCAACTTAGACTAAGCATGGCATGTTTATGTTCAATTTTCATTTGAGAACGTGTGATTTATGACTTTATAGAAATTAGTTTCAAATCGTACAATTATAAAAAAAATGTATATAAAGTAAAATTTAAGTATTCATTAAAGAATTGAACAAAAAATAATTAAAATTTAATTTTACAAAACAAAAAAATTTTAGCAGTAAAGTAAGTGAATTTCAAAGAAATTAAAGAATTTTACTAAGACTTTCTTAGCATAATTTTTAATAGTAATGCTTTTAGCAATAATAGCAACAAGTTATATATAATACTAGTATATTTTATTTTCAAAGAATTTTCATTTTCTATTTAATACAAAATAATGTTAAATACTTTATAGTTTTCCTTCTTCTGTCTGCCACTTACCACCATTAAATGATGAGAAATTTTTCCGGTTTTTACTTTTTACAACAAATCTTTTTTATTTTATTTCTCAATAATAACTCAATATGGTTTTTCTATAAAAATTTATTTGAAATAATTTTTTTTTTATTATTATTTTCTGCTAAAACAGGATAAATTATGTTTCTACACACGCGCCGACATCTGCAATATAACCGTCAAACCAAGCGATACAATGTACATTCAGCAACAACAATTGTTAAGTCCAGGAAAGCGTTTACCTCCACGATCACCGGCCAAATCGCATAAATCCAAAAGTGGCAATAATGCAACTATGTCAACAACAAAGGTAAGAAGCAATTTTTTAATGATCGATTTAATAGCTAGAGAAATATGTAATTGAAGTTTTTTACATTCGGTAGTTATGAACTCTTTTACTAATATCTGATTCATATGATGATAATTGATCAGATTATAATTTGATCTTGATGATAGATATAATATTTGTAGTCATTATATCTATGACTGATTTGTAGTCAAAATAATGAAGATTTGTAGATCACTTTAATTTAATTAAAAATCTTTAACATCAGTGAACAATAGTAAACAATAATATATATATTTTTTTTAATTTCTGTAGCATTACAAACTTTAGCTTAAACTTTAATAATTAATACTACCACAACACAAATATTATTGAACGAACAATCAAATTTTGAATCAAAATTCATAGAACTTTTACTTTTTGTATTTATTTATCTATATATATTCATTATCTATACTAAATTGAATCTATTTGGGACATAAATAAGGGATTGACCTAATTGAATTTTCTTGTATAAGAATAGTAAAAAATTCAAAATCATAATAACATCAGAAAGTAAAAACACAATGTATCTATTTTAAAGTGATGTCATATAAATATTACTGCATAAGCAGAAAAACAGTCACTTGCAGTCACCAGATAGATTTAGCCAAAAATATGACATAGAAGATCAAACACTACCTTAAATTCAATAAAAAGTTCTTACAGTTTATATCCACTATGTCTCTTTTGAATAGTTTTGCAAGTAAATAGAATGGACGTCAATAGAATGGAAATAGAATGGAATACAAGAGTAATTAGGATAAGGACATAGTGAATACGATTTATGCTTTATTTAGGCACTATTTAACTCTCTTCAAGCAATGCAGTAAACTACTTTGAAGATTATAATTTTTAAATTGAAAGAATTCGGTATAGTTGATTTAATGTAACTTATTAAACTTATCATTGAAACCTGATGGTTTACCACAGGTTATCGATGAGTTTATAAAAACTCCATAATGCAATCTCTATCTAAATCAATAATAATAAATTCTTGTAAAGAACAACGCATACGTGACATCCACTTTGTAGTTTCTAATATTTAAAAATAAAATTTACAAGAATTTTAAAAAACTAAGATATATTTAAAATTAAATAATTTCTATAATGCTAATGTCTCAATAAAAGTAAAAAAAATTATTTTAGCTTAATTTCCTTATAAAATGGATATTAATAATACATACTTATTTCCAATAATCACAATTTGCAGAATTTGGTCTATTTCAACATAACATACTATCTAATAATCCTATGGCACAAAAAAAAACTTCCAAATCATATTGCAATAGAAGGATATATGTATAAATATCCTGAAAAGTCTGTATTAAAATCTAATATTATTGTTTTTAAGTTAGTATCAGAAGCTAATAATTAATAAATTTAAAAATAAATTAAGATTTTTAATTTAAACATTTGTGCTCACTTCAAAAATTAGCTAGGTAAACATAAACTGGCTGTCTGTTAAAAATGATAGTTCTAAAAATACTCACCTAACCTAAAAATTGTAAGAAACTATATATAATTTAGGTGTATAATATATCTATGTTACATATCTGCAGATGTTGTATATGGTATATCCGTATATAATATAATAGAATTTTAGTTAGTTGTGGTAGACTTTTTTATTAACAGCTAATTTTAAACTAATATAAGACAACAAAGTTTTTTAAACAAAGATCTAAATCATACTTGTTCAGAATTTTGCAATATCAGACGGTGGGAAAGAGCTCAAAATATTATTATTGCCAAATATAGACCCTATTCTGATGGCGATTAAAACAACCCGTCAAGTAACCTGCTAGCAATCTGTTTCAATGTGGAGCGAAATCTTTTTGGAAATTGTATCAAATTTACTATAAGCTAGTTGGAAATTATAATGCTAAGGAAGATATGACTAAATATTCCATATTGAAAATATTGTTATGAATTTAGAACTTAACTGAACTAAGAAATAGTTTTCCGATTATGGCAGTTAGTTGGGAAATAAATTGTATAATATTAGGATTATTAAAGAAAATTGTTTATTGGCGATTGCTAGAAGTTAGTGCAATAAAAGAGCTTATATAAAACTAGACTCAACTATTTAATTGTTTACAACGCTCCAGCGATTGCATACGGCTACTCCGAATTCGAAATGTACGGAACTATATATTACTTACGACCTAAGGAAATCTCATGTTATAGATCCTTTCTATAGAAAATTTTTAATGTTTTGTGCTCTTCAAGTAGTAATTAACTACTTATGGGAGTGTGAATAAGAATTACTTTTACATATGTTATAATCTTAACATTATTTTGCATTTTAACATTGGGTGCACAATAGATCAAGGTGGTTGCAGTGTAAAAAGGCCTAAGCCTAACCTATAAACCATTAACAACATTATTTTTTCTAAAAAAAAAAAAACACTTTGATTTCTTTAATATTAAAATATTTTATTTGATTCCTATACCTAACAACAATTACAGATATAGTTAAAAAAAATTTATATTGTGTTTGCACCGAAGAGATAGAGTCACAAAACTAACCAGCCACTTCTTATCTGTAGTGCGGATTGAAATTTATTATTTTTATTAAAAATTCTATCAAACTGAAGTTAATCGATAAATTAATGTTTTTATGCGAATAAACGTGATCGAAGTCATGCTTATTCGTTCATCTTGGCAGTTCAATTTTCACAAAGAAAGAAAATAATTGCTTTCACTTTTATTGGAGATATTATGGAATTTTGATATTTCGGCTTAAAAGCATTTCTTCGTTTTCCCTTAAAAATGAAAATCTCTGCTATTTTATTAAGATATTTTTTTTTTATATCGATTTTATTGTATTTTCATTTCTATTTTCTGTCACTTTAGCAACAAATCAATGTCAAATTTCCTACGCTTTGCAATTTATTTAAAAAATTGTGCTGCCTCATGCAAATGCCGCCAATTCGAACTTAAAAACATATTCATCATGTCAAATCAAATGAAATTTGTTGTTACATACAACAATTCCGACTTGGACTCTGACTCTGGCTCCTTTAATTTTTTGTTTTTTTTTTCACTGATTTAAACGAATGCTTGAAAGACCAGACTCCACGTACCGCATATCACACGTTTTCGCCGACGCACTTTATGGCTTATTTGTCGCTATAAATCGGTAACAATTTTCGATGGTTGATTTGCATTGGTGTGGTCTGTCACTTGCAATCTATAAAAATGTGGCAATTTAACTCAATTGACAAGTGAGTTTTTCCATACTAAAGTTGACAACTTTATTTTTCATTAAAAAGCTCATTCAATGCATCATTAAACAAAATTCCACCCAGTGGCACCTCTTCAGCTTATTGTATTCTTCTGAATGTGAATAAAAACGCGGTTTTGGCGCCAATATATTTAAATCTTAAACTTGTTTTGGATTTTAATGAAATTTTTGTAATGCGTTGACTTTATTCAGATTTACAGAGATCACTTAATCGATTTATTGCAAATTTAAAGTTACTACACAAACATTAAACTTGTGCTTTCTGTAATAACACGCCTACCTTTCCCGAATTTCATGCCTGTTAGTTTCAGTTAGTTCCAGTTTGTTAGCTAATAACAACTTTTACAATGCGTTGATTTTAATGTGTACTCGTACCGTATCTTTTTATGCATAAATATTGCACGCACTTGACCATAAATAATGTTTACAGATATATCCATTCAATGAAAATGCTGCAAAATATATATTTGCATATTATTCAAAAATGATTATACAAATTACTCTGCCAATGTCATGCAAGTTTTCATCCATTTATTTGCATATTGTGCCTTGTGCCTTGTGCTTTGTGCGTTGTGCGTTCAGAGACGCATTTTCCCCCATTTTCAGGCTTAGAGATCCACTCTTTCGGTTTTTCAGTTGAATGTGACTTGCATCATTTGTTGCGTTGGTCGTCACAGTTTGCTTGCAGTTTGTATTCGGATAAATATTGTTTATGGTTATGTACGCCCCTTTCATGGAAGCAATAAAAATCCTACTCTAAAACCTTGAAGTTTATCTTATCAATTTTATTATTCATTATTGCACTTACATGAGACTTTGTTTGATAAATGTGTTTTATTATTTTTTATATAAATATTTTGATATCATAAAGCCTGCAATATTTTTATTTTATTATTGTTTAATAAACATTTTTCAGAAAATATTGATATTCACAAGTTTGTAGAGTTTTGTTTCTGCTTTTAATGTTAATACGTACTTCTTTGTAATAACGTTTATGTTATTGCACACAAGTTTTTAATAAATCACGAACTTAAAAGGTTTACAAAAAATAACAACCAATAAAAATTTAGATGTCGGTATTTTAACATCATATTGTTAGAATATTATAAATAAACTTATTGCAATCCAAAAAATATAGTATTTTTCTTTTAAAAAAAATGTTTTTCAATAAAATTATACATACTCGTATCCTAATATATATATTATCTATAAATATTTTAAATTAGAAAATAATACATACTCATATCCTAATATATCTATTATCCATAAATAATTAAGATTAGACAATAATACATACTTGTATCCTAATCTGTCTATTATTTATAAATATTTTAGATTAGAAAATAATACATACTTGTATCCTAATGTATCTATTATCTATAAATATTTTACATTAGGAAACAATACACTCTCGTATCCTAATATATATATTATCTATAAATATTTCACATTAGAAAACAATATATACTTGTATCCTAATGTATCTATTATCCATTAATATTTTACATTAGAAAATGATATATACTCGTGTCTTAATGCATTATTGTTCCAAATTTATAAACTCCTCAATATTATTAAATTTAGATAGTTTTTTTTAATACCTTATAGGTATTATTAATACAAATAAAATATAAGAAGCAAGTAGGTTCCTTAAAGAATGCTGTAGCATGCTTGATTATTGAATCTGTGTTACTTTGACGAAATTACATGTTTTCCTTGCGTGAAAACTGTGTATGCT